AGCCCTTTGACACAGGGACTGTCTCTCACGGTGTCTGTGCCATACCCAGCCCAACAGGGCCCTATCTGAGTTGGGGGTGGAGGTGCTACTTTAATCCAAATAAGAATCTCTCTCTCTCTCTGTAATATCTGTTGGTCTATGAGTCTTTCCCTCTGAAGTATGTATGTATCCATCTAACCATCTCTCTGAATACCTGGCCTTCCAACTGAGCTGGCCTTGGACATATTTATGTGTGTAACTGTCCATTTACCCCCCCTCTCCATCACTGCTTTTGTGGTGTGCATGTACCCATGTATCTACCCATCCTTCCTCCCATGGCATCTGCACATGTATCTACCCAACCTTCCTTCTATGGCCACTACCCATGTATCTACCTATTGTTCCTTCCATGGCATCTATCCATGTATCTCCCCATCCATCCATGGTATATATGTATCCACCCATACAGGATCTGGGAATTGGCATCCCCAGCCTTGTAGCATCTTGGTTTCTCCCAGCCTGCAACCTGGGACCTCGTCCACCTTGGGTGACCTACAGATTTCACCCAGTCACACCACAACAAGGAGACCGGGGGTGAGCTCAGACTAGTTCCATTTATTCACTTGTTGTCATTGGGGGCACAGAGATTATTTACAGGAAGCTGTACTGGACAGTGCTAGCAGCGGGGCTGGGAGGAGCCGTCTTCATTTACCGGAGTCTTTGCTGACACTGCGTTGGGTGAACTTCAACGAGAGGGCTTCATGGATGACCATGCAGGTGTAGATGTCCCCGCTGTTCCAGCTGGCCTTGCTGACTTTCAGCTTGCTGTAGAGGAAGAAGTTCGAGTCGCCGGTTCCGTCCTTGATGGGCGGGGTGGTGATGTATTCCAAGGTCTCCTCGGGTTTGTGGTTCTTCATCCACTGCACGGAGATGTCCTCGGGGAAGAAGCCCCGCACCAGGCAGGTGAGGCTGACCGAGTCTTCAGAGCTGCTCAGCTCCTCGTTGTGGGGGCGCAGGAGGTAGATGCCTGGGCCAGAGCGCCTGCCTTGGGTGGGTGGGGACGGAGGACACAGATGAGCCATGCACATCACTCAGCTGGGGCCACGCGGGGAGAAGGATGGGGCGTGTGTGTGGGTGTGTGGGTGTGCATGCGGGTAGGAACATCCCCTCTCTCCTCCAGGATGGAGGGGCTGGAGACTGGGAGCTGGTAGTCCTGGAGCGCAGGATGGGGGATAGGATGGTCTCCATCTCACATGGGCCGCAAAGGGACCCAGGGCTGGGATCCAGGTTGCTGGGTGTTGGGGCTTCCCCTTAAGGAGCACCCCTCCCTGCTGGGGATTGGGATAGGGGAGTCTCTCCCCTTAGGGACCCTGCTCTCCTCTTACCTGGCTTCTTGGAGATGGATTTGATGAGGGGCGAGGGAAGGTCCGAGTGCTCCACTTTGCAGGTGAAGGTCTCTATGGATCACCAGTCGTAGGAGAGATTAGAAAGACTGCAACTGTTCATCATAGAGAAAATAAA